ATTGGGAACAGAAATGTGGGTATAAAATGAAGTTTACCTCTTTCAATCTCAAATAAATGGTATCAGTGATATCCTCCATTTAGCATGAACACTTATCTTCCATAATTCAAGAGCACTCTCACGTACTGCAATTATTAAAACACTTTTCAGAGATCTCTTTTCCAGGTTCATCCACAAAAATTATCATTCCATTCAATATTCACCACTTCTCTCCACACTCAAGTTATAAGTACTATACCCATGAGCATCAGTGCCAGAAAAAAAGAGGTAGGGGAGGCTTCTTATATCTTTGCATTTCTATTTCAGATGAATTTAAATTCCATGAAGCTGCACTAATTTCTTTTGAACCCTAAGTTTGGAGAATTATGTGAAATTGTATAGCCAAAAATATACAAAATAAAACTAGAGAAACTTTCTATAATCAGGGATGTCAACCAATGGCCATTAAAAAAAAAAAATTCTACAAAGTTCTCCTATATAAGTAGTTATCTAACCCCAAAACCAGCCAAAGCATTTGTCTAGACTCTGCCACAAGTCTTAATGTATGCATTAAATACGATGAATATTCATAAAAAAAATTACAAGTCTATCATAGCAGTCTCAACCCTGGCTGCACATTAGAATCACTTTGGTAATATTAAAAAAAAGGTCGGGCGCGGTGGCTCAAGCCTGTAATCCCAGCACTTTGGGAGGCCGAGGCGGGTGGATCACGAGGTCAAGAGATCGAGACCATCCTGGTCAATATGGTGAAACCCCGTCTCTACTAAAAATACAAAAAATTAGCTGGGCATGGTGGTGTGTGCCTGTAATCCCAGCTACGCAGGAGGCTGAGGCAGGAGAATTGCCTGAACCCAGGAGGAGGCGGAGGTTGCGGTGAGCCGAGATCGCGCCATGGCACTCCAGCCTGGGTAACATGAGTGAAACTCCATCTCAAAAAAAAAAAAAAAATTATAGTAAAAGGGTCCTGGCCCTAGAGGTCCTGATTTAATTCCTATTGTAGTGAAGTGTGGGCATTGGCATTTCTTTTTTTTTTTTTTTTTTTGATACGGAGTCTTGCTCTGTCGCCAGGTTGGAGCGCAGTGGCACAGTCTCGGCTCACTGCAACCTCCACCTCCCGGGTTCAAGCGATTCTTCCGCCTCAGCCTCCCGAGTAGCTGGGACTACAGGTGCGTGCCAAACACCCGGCTAATTTTTGTATTTTTAGTTGAGATGGGGTTTCACCATGTTGGCCAGGATTGTCTCGATCTCTGGACCTCGTGATCCACCCGCCTTGGCCTCCCAAAGTTCTGGGATTACAGGCGTGAGCCACTGCGCCCGGCGGGCATTAGCATTTCTTAAAGCATCCTGGGTGATTTTAACATGCAGTCAGAGCAAAGAGCCACTGATTTATACTTTATATAATTAATCCTGATCAATTTATAAGAGCAAGCAACTGCCACTCAAAATATTTAATATTCTGAAAATACTGCTTGAAATGCAGAATATTGCTGCATATTAGAAAACAGTTGGACCTGGTACTCTAAACTATCTTTACTTTTTTTTTTATTGCTGTTATTACAATGAAGAGATTTCATCTGCAGTACTTCTTAAGTTGGGAGGGTGGGGACAAGGGTGCAGCAAGGAGAAAGTCTTAATAAGATACTGGCATGAGCAAGACAACAGTGCAGACTTTATGTAGAACAATGTTGTGGAAATGTGAAACAAGTTGCAATATAGCGCTTGTGTTTTTTATCTTTTGAAGAAAATGTGGGAAGTAGCTAACTTGACCAATGAGTTTATTTAACACTCAAGAAAAAGTACATCCTCAATGTCTGGTCAGTCTCTAAAATGAAGGCTCAAGATCCTCCAATAAAAGAGTGTTCCCTAAAGTTCCATGCCAGGAAAAAAACAGATTTCTGGTGGCATTTTAAGCATCTTAAACTTTCCAATTCTAGGGTTAGACAGCCTCCAGATACCAGGACTGTTATTTAGCCTCACATCCCCACCAAATAAGAATTACAAGATGGTTTGTGAATAAACAGGATCCTTAAAGTGTGATAGGTGTGTCTTTAGGCCATGAGATTTCCTTTGAAACTATTTTGTCTCAACTAAAATCACAAAATGGGTGGTTTTACAACTGAGCAATCTATCTGTATCCCTATAGCTCTTCCCCAGTAGAAACAGGATCATATTATTGAGCTTAACAAACGTTGAACACATCACACGCATGTCTAAAATATAGCATGAATGTTTAATACTACACACATCTCAAAACCTCAAAACTTAGCAGCCCAAAGGAAAAAAAAAAAAACATCACAGAGGTAAATCAAACTAAGAAAATTTTACTCCCACACATTGTTAGGCAAAAGAATGTGAGAGAATTTAAAAAATGTCCTTCATAAAGCCAAAAACTGAGATCAATCACCATAAAGCACTTAAAAGTTGTTTGATTTAGATGGTAGTGTGTTGTTTTTTAATACCACACTTAGAATTATCTAAACTTTTCCCACAAATGTTGAGTATCTAATATCAGGCCCCACTCCCTGCTGTTTTGTGAAGTTTGAGAAGTAGCAAATCAAATTTCTTAGAGCAGCTCCCCAAATGGGTTCTTCCCTGCAGAGTCTAGCAAATAATGTCTTATGAGTATCCTTTAGTCTACTGAGCAACCTGGGAAACATCACTCAAGGTATTTGTATAAAATACAATTAAAGATGTCCTTTTATGTAAAGAACTCTGAGATTTGCTTCAAGCTTAGAAAAAGATCAAATTTATAAAGACTTTATTCTAACTTGAATTGAATCAGTAAATTAACTCTTAAGAAAAGCCTACGTGCAACTTTTATAAATCTTTCTCTATGCTTTAAATGATTACTATAAATGCTCATAAATTCTGCTGTTTGCTTTCTTGTACATATTAGATGAACTGAAATTACATTTATTATGGATGTAATTCTTGTTCGCTTAAAACATTATTAAATTATATTTTTCAGTTAAATATCCTTATTTAGCAATCATTTTAGTAAGCAGCTACTGTGTTCCTTATAAACAGTTTTCTTGGAATCTAAATATGAGCCTGTAATACATAAGCCTGTTTAATGGTGATTAAAATGAGAGAATAGAAATTAAGATGGAGAGAACAAAAAGCCACCCTCTTCTTCAAGTCTAGCTTTTCTAATTTATTTTAGTTGCTCTGTCTTACATTCTTTTCCAAAGGCTGACAGGCTAAGGAGCTCATGTGTCTTGATCCTAAACAACTCAGTTTTGCTTCCTGTGTTAGAATGTAATCAGGAATTACATTTTTTCAAAAATAAAAAAATGTTCATATCAACTATATGTCAAGGCTGCCCATCAGCCACACTGAGTTATAAGAATCATTCAGCAAGAACTCTCAGATCCAGTCCCAGAACTCAAAGCAGTTAGAACGGAAGGTAAAGAAGTGATGTATGGCAAACACTGAAAAGCAGATTTCCCCAAAAGGCTTAACTGGTTCAATATAAACTACAAAGGCAAGTAAGATTAGATTTAAATTTTAGATGAATCCATTTGATAATACATATTTCCCAGACTGAAGCAAGGTAAACATTTATTTTCTAAACTACTTTGTAAGTCAATCATTTCAGACAAACATTACACATTTTTTCATAATCAATGCAACAGTTCATGATCACATTTCTAAAATTCAGGTGTAAGATGTGAGCTATATGAAGCATAAAAATATATTTTTTAATACTAAAACAAAAAGTTCCAAATAATGTCAAATCAATAATATATCCCAATATTGGATACTTTGGTAATGAAAGCAATCTAACATAATCTATGAGATGCAAGACTAAAAAATACATAAAATAATGCAATCAGACTGTTTTAACATTTTAGAAAGCAGAACTGTGTCACCAGATATTAAAACTATGGGAAGTAGAAAACGCACTACCTACAAGTGAAATACTCATACATTTAGAGCTTATTTACATAGTTTAGTGATTTCCCAGCCATCAAAGGGAACTACAGTTTTCTTAATGATAAATATTATGATCTAAATTAACCTTCTTATGGGTAAAAAGGACATATTTCATTCTTTTTCTTTCAACAAGAATACCTATTTGTAAAAATTTTTAGCAAAATTGTAAAGTATGTTCTCTATTTCTTGTGTTATGATTGAATAAAGGCATTTATGGTCAGTAATGTGCATGAAATATCTCAGTTTTCACTAAATTTCTCTGTTTAATTTTTAAATGTATTACCAAACTTAAAGATATTTCCCAAGTTAAACTATTTTGAATTTTTCTACCAGTTGCAAATAAATTATCCATTCTCATTTTAAGCAAAAGTCATTACAGTAAATATATTTTGACTTGTACTTTAGTGGTAAATCCAATCATAATGTAGTCACTATTGTAGTTACCATATAATGCATGAAACATTTAAACAACTAAAATATAACTTGAAGTCCTGTACCAAGCTGTGAATCTGAAATGAACTTTGGTAAGAATTACTTGCTGTTGAAGTTTAGTTCACAAGAGAGTATCTTCACCAAACTACTTTCTTTATAGGAGGGAAGATGCTGATAATTTTCTATTTTCTTATAATACTTAATTCACAAAAGTGGCTTATGTGATTCCTACAACTCTATCTTTATTTTTCTATCACCTGGTAATAGCCAGCACATATTTTCAAAATTTTCTGATTTAGATAGTAGTTAAATAAGAATCTCGAAGTACAAAACAACAAACTTCTTTAAAGCTTAGGTTTCCTTCCAACTTCACAAAGACATGACATTTTAATTAACTTAAGAAATCGCTGACCTTACCTTACTGTGCTGGAACATAATTTAAATAAACTTCACAAGATTTTAATGTGTTAAATGCCAAATGCTGTTCAAAGTTTACACTGAAAAAAACAGTGAGCTAGAATTTTAAATAAAATCCTAGAAACAAAGTTCAGCTTTAAATAAATTCTCCACAAATAACAAATTCACACATATTTCTTACACACATATTCACACAGCAAGAGTAAATGTATTACCTTTATGTTAAAAGAGGGAACTTCTCTGGCTCAGTTTGGTGCAAATGATTGCAGTAGCAACAGCGGTAACTGACTGCAGGAACACAGCACAGCAGAAAGCAATGAGTTGGCAGGAGCAGCTCCACAGAGGGGCAGGACAGACTGAATGACAAGCACATGCACATTGCTTTGAATTAGGCATGTTAGGGGCTGAAACTTTCAGTGTTTGCTCTCCAATAGGACAGGAGAGTTTTTCTCCTACTTAACCCCTTGGGGCAAGGTCTTAATAATGGTAACAGCTGGCATACAGAGGGGCTTGATCTGAGCACAAGGTCAGCAAGCCAGGATATGAAGGTGACATGTAATTTCTAGCCTTTTCCTGCTTCCACAGGGAAATTGCGTGAAGGACTGTTTTTAGTTATAATGTCCTTTGATCTTTTGGATTTTAAGTTACTTAGTAGATTAAAGCCATGTTAGTTGATATTATTTGCTTGCTTAGCCTGACTTAGGTGTTACAGATTCAGTTTTCTAACACACAGTGCTACTATATTTAAAATAACACAAATAAACACCAATCTGCGTTTATTTCCAAGTTCCAGGGATTCTTGTGTTCTTTCACAAAATGGCTCGAGATCCTACTTTTAAGACAGAAAGTTTATGGTTTTAAAAAGAGCCAGAATTTTCTTTTAAAATGTTAGAGCAGTTGTAAGTGTTTTTCTTCAATTTTCTTAAACAAAAGCAGCAGTTAAATAAATTTGACACTACTTTTTATAAATGTATGACCCTCATGATGTCAGCATTTAAAACCCACAACCACAACATAAAAGGCTTTTAAATACCTGCAAACAAATGTTTTAATTTTACAAATGACATCCCTTAGCAAAAAGTGATAATTTACTGAAACCATGATAATTTATTGTGAATTCTAACCATGAAATCTAACTCTTCATGACTTTGGTAATGAAAACATGTATCCAATTCTTTTAGTAGATTTACTGATTAAATATGAAGAGAATAGTTTCAAGTATTTCAAAAGCATAAACAAAGAAAAAAGTATAAAATTGGACTTCATCAAAATAAACTTTTGAAGATCAAAAGACATTATCAAGAAAATGAAAACACTCACAGAATGGGAGAAAATATTTGCAAGTCATATATCTTAAGAGTCTAGTATTCAGAATATATATTTAAAAGCTCTTACAACCCAACAATAAAAAGACAAATAATCCAATTTAAAAGAGGTAAAATGTTTGAATAGACAATTTTCTAAAGAAGATATACAAATGGCCAATATGCACATAAAATATGCTCAGCGTCATTAGTGATTTAGGGAACTACAAATCAAAACCACTTATAAGTGATATCTTATTAGATATCACCTCACATCCACCATTCTATTTCAAACAAACAGAAAATAACAAGTGTTGTCAAGGACATGGAGAAACTGGACCCCTTAAATACTGCTAGGGGGAATGTAAAATGTAAAATGCTTTAGCTTCTGCAAAAAACAGCTTGGCGGTTCCTCAAAATATTAAATGTAGAACTACCATGTGACAATTCCACTCCCAGTACACTTGATCCTCATTATTTGCGGATTCTGTATTTGTGAATATGACTATTCACTATAAATTATTTGTTACCCCCAAATAATCCCCACAGTGCTTTCACAGTCATTCAGACATGTGAATTGGCAGAGTGGTGAAAAATGTGAGTCACCCAAACAAGCCTACCCTCTTGTGTTTGGCTCTCATACTGTAAACAAGTCTCCCTTTTGCAGTCTATTTAGTGCCACATTTTTCACATTTTGTGCTTTTTTTTTTTTGGTGATTTCACTGTTTCAAATAGCCTCCAGGTGTAATGCTGAAGTACTGCCTCACTCTTTCTAAGTGCAAGAAGGCTGTGACAGGCCTTGTGGTGAAAATATACCTAGTTAGGTAAACTGCTTTGTGCAGGAATGAGTTATAGCGCTGTTAGACATGCACTCCATGTTAATGAATCTGCAATAAATGTAAGATGTCTTTAAAAAGAAACACACATGAAACAAGGTTGTGTATTGATCAATTGATGAAAATGTGACCAGAGGTTTACAGGAACCTAATCCTGCATTTCTCCTAAAACCAGTAAGACAGTACTGACTAATGCAGTGTTTGCAGTGACTTTATGAACAGAACTACCACAAATAATGAGAAGTGACTGTATATATCTGGGAGAAAATTGGTGCATACAAAAACCTGTACATGAATTCTTCTTCATAACTGCCAAAAGTAGAAACAACCTAAATGTCCATTAACTGATGAGTGGACAAACAACATGTGTAAATCTATTCAACAGAATATGATTCAGCTATAAAAATAAGGCAGCACTGATACATGCTACAACATGGATGAACCTTGAAAACACTGCACTAAGTGAAAAACAGGAACAAAAGGCCACATATTTTATGATTCCATTTATATGAAATATCGAGGAGAGGCAAATCCATAGAGACAAAATGTAGGTTAGTGGTTTCCAGGAGCTGAGGGGTGGAGACAGAGGATGGGGAGTGACTGTTAATAGGTATGGACTTTATTTTTGGATGATGAAAATGTTAAAGAATTAGATAATGGTGATGTTTGCACAATCTTGTGAATACACTACACTGAAATGTATACTTTAAAGTGGTAAATTTTTAGGTATGTGACTTATATCTTAATTAAAAAAATAAGGAAGGTATAAAGTTTCAGTCATTAGACCAGTGGTTCTTAACTTGAGTGTGCATCAGAATTCCCTGGAGGGCTGGTGAAAACGGAGATTTCTGAGTCCCATCGCCCAGAATTCTGATTCTGAAGGACTGGGTTAGGGCTTGAGAATTTGCTTTTCTAGTAAGTCCTCAGGGTGATGTGGCTACTGCCGTTCTGGGACCCACGTTCTGAGAACCACTGTATGTCTGAGCTACCAGAGGGTAGGAAAGGTAACTTTCATCTCTGTATCTCCTAAATTCACCTAAAACAGAGCCAATCTTGGAAGGAAAAGGACTGGGAAAAGGAAGAGTGAAAAGCACAAAAATAGTTACTTGAGGAAATATATTAAAGGAGTCAGTCCCTAAAATCTTAGTGTATGCTGATTTCATATGTATGCCAAATGCTGTAATACAAAAAATTTCCATGACAAAAAGGAATTCAAGAATTAAAATAAAAATGAAGGTATTTTAAGATTCTTTCATCATCTGACCAGTATTTTGGTGCACTTTACTAAAGCAGCTAATCCTATTTCACCGTGCTTGTCCTTCCAAAAAATGCAAACAAAGGTTCTAGAATTGTTGATCCTATAAAGAAATCCCTTAAATAAAGTGTCACAAAAACCAAAGACCTGTAATCTCTAACTCAAAACCATGTAAATTCTTATTTACATTTTTGGCAAAATTACAGATCTGTATGTCTAATCACTTCATTTAAGCATTTGGGGTCCATGTAAAAATAGACAATTTAAAGTATACTTTTGGTATCATTGTCACATGGGACACGTAATTATTTCACAAATGATAAAGATTATCCCCAATTACTTCAATATGTTTCTCAATGTATTATCTAGAGTGAAAAGAAAAGTGCTAGTGACCTTATAGTGCTCTAATATTTTCTGAAAACGGTATCCTTTTTTTCTTAGACCATACTATTTCAGTATCTTCGTTATTAGGAAGACAAGGGCATGGGGGAGGGAGAAAGAGACCAGAGCCGGCAGGAGAGGCACAACACTTGGTACTTTTTAAAAAGTGATAAAACATCTGCTGATTAACAAACTCCTTCCCAGCTGCACCTAGTCAAAAATGCAATTCCGGATTCTGTTACATTTATTAACATTTAAAATTCTTGTCAATGTATCTTTTTTTCTTAGCATTAAGTGTCGAACAATTATGAATAAGTAAATTGTGGTATATTGCAGACACTGCTTCAGCAGGATTTTTCTTTAGTATGGTCAAATCAATAGTTTAGTAATTTGGAGGTGCAATTTCAGAAGAACTAATCACATGAAAGTTCTGAGGATAATATTCTATATTATATTTTGATGTTTCCAGAGTGCAAATTGTTCCATACAATCTGAAAACTTCCAACCAGAGCATGATGCTGCCCAAAGCATTCATAGGACCCTGCTGGCTCTGAATTCAGTTTTTATGAATTTGGATATCACTGCAAATAGATAAGATAAACCCTAATTTTACTACTCAAATCTGGATTATTTAAGAAAAGACCAGCATTCAAAGTTGAATTAGTAAGTCTGGAGCAAAGACCATATTGCAAGCAAATTGGAGGAAAAAAAAATCAAGGAATGCTAAAATTCCTCCCCAAGAATTTGGAAATATGTACATCTGTCTTATATATTCCTCTTACCCAAAGACAGACATTTCTTAGGCTTCTTTCTTATCTTGTTTCCTGTTGAAAATTCTACCTCTAAAATCTACACTTTTTACAAAGGAAAACTTTATGACCTTGCCCGTCTTCCACAGTCTGACATCTTCACCCTTATCTTGACCTCCTGGCTCTAGAGTCTTTATCCATGTCTTTTCCTATTTTTACTTGCTTTGTGCTTAGTTAAGATCTCATCCTCAGCATTTATTTACTTCAGCAGCATTCCAGCCTTTCAAAGAGCTCCACTAAACTTGCTCTCCCTGCCCTTCTTTTTTTTTCTTTCTCTCTTAGGTTTAGAAATGTTACTGAAAAAAGTCACCAGACAAGGAAGCAGAGACCTAAAACAAATGCACACTCTCAACTCTGGAGGGCTTACAATGCGGCTGTGATTCATCCCATCTATCACAGATTCTCCACTGGAAATCCCCATAGGGATGGCCAAAAATCTTTCCCATGCCCCCTACCTTAACCTTCTCAGCAAATGATGCCACCTATTTTATAGGAAAGAATGAAATTATCTGACTAGGAGCTCCTTTAAACACTACCACCTGTACTTCAAACTTTTTCTGGGACTTGTCTCTTATCTCTCAGTGTCCAACCCTCTTTCCTGCTTATTAATTGCTGTATTTATACACTGTATCTTTGCTTCCCAATAAGGTAGCCACAAGCCACATGTGGTGACTTAATTTTAAATTGATTCACATTAAATGAAATTTTAAAATCTCAGTGTTCCAGTTGCACCAGGCGTCACATTTCAAGTGCTCAACAGTCATATGCGGTTCACGGCTTCTGAATCGGGCAGTACAAATAGAGAATATTTTCATCACTACAGACAGTTTTACTGGACACAGATGCTCCAGATCTTGACTACCATGTTTCTTTACTCTGTCTCACTCTGCCTCCAAGTTCATCTTCATTTTTCTGTCTTGTCAACTTGTTAATTGCTTACAAAAAATGTTTAGTTTTCCCTAACCTGAAAATTCCTTCCCTTGGCCTGCTAGTCCTCAGGCTACTTACCTATCTTCCTTTTCTTTGCCAGACAATACTTAAGGCTTACCCCATCTTATTCCTTCACTTCCTACAATCTTACCTACCATCTAATACAACTGTTTCTTCAAAAGCAAAACCCAGTGGTCCTTTCTCAATATTCATTTTCTTTACATTTCTTCATTTACCAATTTTGTTGGTAAATATTCTTTTCTCTTTACTCAGTTTCCATTATTCTAACATTCTCTACCTCTTTAATCACTATTCCGTTTTCTTGACAGATCCTCTTAATTGTGTTATTCTAAATTTTGAGCAATATCCAATGGTCTTGTCCTTTGAACTTTCTGCTTTATGGATTCCTGCCTATACTGTCACACTCAATTTCTATTATAAGTTCCATTTCTGCAGCTTCTACTCTTTAAGGACATTTCAATGTATATATCCTGCTAGCAGCTCTAACTCAATAATTTAAAAAATAATCTCAAATAACTTCTTGCTTTTCCTATTTCTATCCACCCTTTCAGTCATTTAAGCCCAAAATTTTCACTTAAATATTAATTTATTGAACAACAGATCTGTGCTGCATCCTGAGCTAGGGCAGGAGTCATCTCTGACCTTTACATCACTGTATACCCTTGTTCATTCATTTCCAA